GCCGCACACACAAGATATTTAATTTCCATTCGCGCATGCGCTACTTCTTTTCTAATTTTTTGCATCTATTCTATAGACCACACCATAATATGACTAGACACGGCGAGGTTCATCGAATGGTTGAATATGCTCCTTTTTAGCGAAGGTTTTCTAAGCCCTACGAATTTCCCAATTGTGTTCATTCCTAGTTTTCTTTATATTCTGACAATCTTGGTCATAAAAAAGAGTAGTAGAAGTAAGTACAGACCTACACATATAGCAAGACATATGTTTTTAGTGGAGCAACCGCGTCAAAAATAATTTTGAGGTTCACTACAGCAAAAGCAACTGAAACTTGCCTTTTCATTGCCAGAAAACGTCAATTCGATCGAACTTTTACAGTTGTTCCTTCTGATAAGTTTGACACATCGAATATCATTCGAAACATTTTGTTGCATCCGAGTTTTGCGTATTTAAAGCTCAAAATTCACGGATTTGATGTGAGGCGGCGGCGCCTGCAAAATCGCCGTGGTCCCACGCGGCGCAAAAACCCAAAACGCGCGTTGTCGTCAACGTGTTAAATTCGACGTGCCCTTCTGCCATTTTTCTGCGCACCCACGGCGACAAGATGGACGTTCAGAACCTGTCTATTGTACAGAGTGTCTGAACTGTATATAGATGAAGTATGGCACCTGTTGGATTGCTCCTGGTCAGGAGAGGGTTTGACATCACCCCACGGATTACCTCCCTTGCCCTGCACACGCAGCGTGAACGCTGCGCAGGGCAAGAGAGGTAATCCCCGGGATATTTTTCGATAGCTGCCAGAGGGTGGCTGTGGCGTGTGGGGGATTTCTGCATTCCTCGTGCGAGACACTATACCATCCCACGTTGACGCGGAAACGCGCACGCGCCCAGGGGCAACGTGGATTACGGTCGTGGTGACTCAGCGGATTGTAAAAAACGGCTTGTCGATTTAAGCAGCGCAACTTGCGTTATTCAAAATGGCACAACAATTCTGAATGGATTTGGAATGCGTGACGCATCCCAAAAACGGATGTCCCAAAAAGGGATATCAGGAATGCTTAACTCTTTTGATTAAGTTTGTAGTGTTTTCGCTTCTATGTTTGAATTCTTTACAGTAACTTTCTTATCATTTTTTCACAGTCTATTTACACTCACTCATGGTCAGAGAAGGGTAGAGTGTCCTAAGAGGCCCGTCGCGCGGCGAAGGAAGAGACGCAGACGCGGCAAAGGACGAGTCGCAGCGCATACTGTAGCGGTTAGGCGTCAGTTTCAATAGAACGCATTACTGTAACAACAACACTATTCATTCCACGGCGTGGGCCGAAAATTAGACATCTGCTTATATACGCAGCGGAGTTCACTGAAAATGGAAATAAGCAGTGCCTAGCCCAGTACTACAACGTCCTCGATATTTCGAAATGAGCACTAGATATAATAGGTCATATCTAAAAAAGGTAAATTCAAGAAAGGAAAAAAAGAGTTAAAGTTAAGGTTAAAGAAAAAAGCTAGCTTGGCTAAAATGGCAAAAGTTGAAGCGACTAAAATACCAGCATGTACGACCAACGATAGGCTCTATTACGAAGAAATGGAAGAGACGTAACAAAGACGAGCAGTCTGGGGACAGTTGAATGTGGAGAAAAGTAATGGCGCAAAAAAAACAAGAAAAAGCTTCGCGTACTAGCTAATAGCGAATTCTGAGCCCACATCGTGGAGTGGATGGTGTTGTACGCACTGTGCGATCTATTCAAATTGACGCCTAACCGCTACAGTATGCGCTGCGACTCGTCCTTTGCCGCGTCTGCGTCTCTTCCTTCGCCGCGCGACAGGCCTCTTGGGGGACACCCGAGAAGGGAACGACCAATGATTCACAATATCGACCACAGGTACTCTTTGGCTTTAGTTTTCACAAAGTCCAAAATGTTCCAGAGCGGCTCAGTAAATCAGGCTGTATGGGATTTATTTATTGATTCATTTAGTGTTCAAATCAGTGTACGCCAGCTATCCATTGATCCGCGTAATAAGTCTGCTAACACTACTAGGATTGCCGGATTAGAGAAGGATTTCGCGTCACTGCCGAGACCACCAGGACAGATTTTCAAGCTAAATACGGACCCGACTAGCAGGCTCGTGGACGCTTAAAGGCAGAGTTTAGGATGAAAGGAAACTTATTAGAAATAAGGGTAGAGGTGGCTAGTAGAGCAGGGATGAAGAAAAACCATTTGAAAGGGCCCGGAATCCGAGAAATGGGACCCCTTCCTTGTCCGATTTCCGCATTGATGCAACTCTTACTGTGCCGTCGTTCAACACTACGCTCTGCCTCTGATTCACTCACCACGTATACCTGGCTGCGACCGTTTAGTCGATGGGCGTAATCCGCCAACCGCTGCCAAGAGTGAGCCATGCTGCATCACCGAGGTCAGATCTTTCGCTGCCAATTGCGAGTCGGTCAGCATCCTCAGGAGGTCCGCCTGTTTCCCAACTATGCAAGTTTCCCCTTTTGACCTTCGTTCTTATCGTGAATAACTCTCTTAGGAAGGCTATCTTATAGTGAACAAGCGCACTTATTCCAACTTGGAAAGTAAAGCGATGATTAACACAGAGCTAGCGGATAAGCACATTGCTCAGAGGGAAGAATCAATATGTCGGAGTAGCCGCAACAGTGCTATGAAGTTTTTGCCATCTGCGTCGAATGATCCATAAGTTAAGCATACAATAAGAATGGAATAAACATTCCATAGAGAAGGCACAGTAACCCTGCTAAATACATTCTTGGCGGTAGATCATGTTCACAGTTGTCCAACGTTGTCGCTTGACGCACCCTCCTCTTATACAGGGGGGGGGGGGCCAAAAAAAAAAGACATTTTGCCTATGTCGGACTTCGGCTCTTTTTTCTTCGCAGAGATTGCTGTCGTTGACGGGAGTTCCTCAGCAGAGTATTCCCTAAGTGTCCCTCTATAAGTGAACGCAGGCCCTCCTTCACTGCCCTCACCGTCTTCAGAATATGACGTCATCTGTCACCGTCGTCAGGCTCAAGGAGGTCTACCGTAAGAGCTTCAGCCTGAAGCTCTTACGCAATTTCGTGAATAGTTTTCTAGAGGCATTAGCTACCACTGTGCAAATCCCCTCGGAACTAGCTTTCCAGTAAGGGTCGTTATGGTACACGATCCTTCGAAGACCCCATTGAGCTCGACCAGTGCACCATGTTTCCAGGGCAAATTCTTCTGATGCCGTCCACGTAGGTGGCCACTATGAAGATTTTCTTATAGAATGGAATGCGCTCTTTAATAATAAGTTGGAACCATTCGGTCTGAATTGAGCAAAGTGTGCTTAAATCCATCTGGAAGTGGAGACAAAATGTCTTTTTTTTGGCCCCCCCTGTATAGCGAATAAAATGCTGAATTGTAGATTATTGACGACAATATGTACGTTCGAAATTGAGATGGGTGAGGGTCTCACAGCGCATTCAATGCTTACAGCGTTCTCCAAGCCCACAAATAGTGCACATCGGTATGTACATATCACCGTGCTGAAAATCATAGACTGTATTTGGTGGAGCGGAAAAACGTTGCGCCCTGATAAACGCTCGTAAGAAACGAGACGGTCGACACAAAACTTTCGAATGTAGTAGTTCGGTTTGGTGCCGCGCGAGATAATCAGCATTGATTGCAAGCGCTACTGAAAGCTGACGAATATATTGTTGAGCAAAATTATGCGGATTTTTTCGCGCCTTCTTTTTCCGAGAAGACTGACGTTTTGTTTATTATTTTTCATTGATATATTCCTCTCTCTTTCATTAACAGAAATGCTTATCGAAAAGTCATGTTCATTATCGGCTTATATGCTCTAACCACTTCGAGAAAGATTGAAAGGCGACAGAGTCATTTCGCGATCTCAACGCTGGCGGGCAGGAAACGTCGGCAAAAGCCGAAGTTGAAATATGGTTAAGAGGTCAAAACGCCAACCAACTGCATATCATTTTGAGAGTTATTCAAATATTTATTGTCTGAGACGGAGAATTCAGAATTCTTCGACCGCTATTCACCCTGGTTGGAAGGCTTGACTGATGATTGGCGGAGTTAATCCCTGCGATTGCAAGCTATTCCGTTACCTTCGACGCCTCTACCGCTTGAAAGACCCGGGCGGTCGCGCTCGCACAACCGCGCCGATCCCACGCGGCGAAAAAAGCCAAAAAGCTCGTGTCGTCAACGTGGTAAATCTCACGAGCTAAGAAACTGGTGTGTGGCTCCTATTGCCTATAGGCCGCCTGTGAGTCAACAAATAATCTTTCGCGATGTAACTATATTATATGTATACCGATTGATGACATGTCCAACCGTAACACGCTTCAGACCTCCAATAAAATCTGTGGCTGAGAGGGACCTGAGAGAGAGGATGGTACCTCTTGAAAGCGGCTGGAACGTCGAGCAATGGAAGGAAGCGGTGGCCGAATGCAGAAAAGTAAGCAGTATCTTCGGAGAGTCTAAATTATCGAGGCACCTCTAGGAGTGTAGGTCAGGAAGTCCAGATTGCACGGCGAGACGACGTCGCGCGCGGCATTCATGGTGAAGGAACCGTGTCCAATCCACGTTGAATCCAAACGCTAGGAAGTAGCTAGCTAGATAGTTCTCGCATACTCTGCTCTTTCCTCTCTTTACTATTTACTATTTACAGTCTTTACCAGAAAAATTACTGCTTCCCTCTAATAATTTTTAAACGCCAAACAGAAGAAGCCCGCAGAGCAACTACAAAATTTTGGGTACACATCGTGAAATTAACGCGTCTGGACGTATGCCATCACTACCAACCTGATTCTATGCGAACGTACTACGAAAGGCCGAGTCGACTAGCAACCGTAAGCAAATTGGACTTCCTGACCTACAGTACATTAGTTCACCATAGTAGAGATTCAGTTGGGAATTTTGAAGAATATGGTAGTGACTTACTGAATTTTTCAGCCGGGATTTCTTATGACAGCATTCACTGGTCATGGTATCTACACAGCCACAGCCCCTGGTATGCGGTTTCCTACTTTTTTCTAGTAGACTTTTTCACGCAATATGGAAATCAGAAGTCTACGAGTTCATTCCAACGAACTACAAGGAAATTAAAAAGTTCAAAGCGAAAATGTACGAATCTGGACTGACACTTGTAGTGAGAACAAACGACACCATGGAGGACATCCTCAAATGGTATGTTCCCCATGTCCACAGTTTTTTATAACTTTGTGATTAATAGAACTACACTGCTTCAAACTAACAACCCCAGATCAAATTGGTGGGGCAAAGCCGCGTTTATAGTTTGAGGCTCTGGGGATTAGGATTTTTA